CACGTACGTCTCTTCCGTTTCTTTCTTTCTTTCCACAGAGGCTGGCTCTGATCCGCAAAACCACCAAGAAGTAAGGGGATGGTGGTCCCTCCTCACCTGCCCAGGGTAAAACTTTGTTTTTTTTTTTTCCCCCAAATGTCATTTCTCGAGTCAGCTGGATGGGTTCAGAGGGCTCACAGCGGACTTGCCGGAGACACTGTAGGGGGGCACCACGGTGGCTAGGAGATGTTGACTACCTCGCCTGGTGTGCAGGAGGTCGTGGCTTCGATCCCAACCCTGACGATGCCTGCTGCTGCTGTAGATTTGGAGTTTGCGTGTTCTCACCGTGGTCGCGTGGATTTTTCTCCGGGAGCTCCGTTTTTTTCCCTGCCACATTTAGAATCAACATCACGCATTTTAGAGTGTTTGGCTGCTGCTATAAATCTCCACGTGATGATGACAGGCCACTTCGTTGGGCTATCATTTGTGACAGCCAGGTCACTTCTGAAAAATAGCCTCATAGTAGCTCTTTGGGGCCTTACCTGGTAACAATAAAAACAATAGTTTCCGTAGTTTTGTCATTTGGTCACTGGGCGTTACGTGTTACAGCAAGTCCTCTGTTTACGTAGAGTGCGTCCGTTGGAAGCGCGACATTGTGCCAAACGATGCAGATCTATGACCGTTGGTTTTCACGATGTGAATTTAGGATACGTTCCCGGGAGTTGTTTTTTTTTTGGTCAGCATTTGCAGAAAAAAAAAATACATGAAACTCTCCGATGACGCACACACACGCGGTATGTGTGTGTGTGCGTGCGTCATCGGGACCGGAAAAAAAATTTGTAACTTTATCGTTACACTGAGGCTCCCACGAGGCCATGCGGGAGTGCGTGTGGCTCGGTTTCTTGGTGCGGCGGTCGTGTCGCTACGCATCTCTGCGTTGACGACGTCTTTATAAAAACAACGGCACTGCTGCTATTGCTGCTACGCCTCGAAATACAATGAACGCTGAGCCGCTCGCGCGTTCTGAGATTCGGCGGTGAGTGGGGGGCACCCACCCAGACTACCCTGCGACTTGCAGCCGCCTCGGAACGGGGGAAAGAGTTAAATAAATACCTAAAAAAGATGTCGTGCAACAAGTTTTAACAAGTAATGTAATGCATGAAGAGAGGGTAGTGCAGTACACAGCATGGCGATGTTGTACAGTAGGCAGTACAGCGATGTTGTACAGTATGGCGGTGCTGTACAGCACGGCGATGCACGGCGGCGTAGCCACGCCGCACAGTATACAGTGCGGCAATGTACAATTTTCAATGTTGTGCCGTATACAGTGTGGCGATGTGCAGTGTGGGGTGGTGCGTGGTATACAGTGTGGCAGCATTGTACAGTGCGGCGATGTTGCACGGTATGGTGATGCTGCGCCACAGGGTGAAGCACAGTATGGCCGTCGTCTTACAGTGCACGGCGTGACGATGCTGCACGGTACACAGTAGGGCAATGCCGTGCTGTTTACAGTGTAGTGACGTGTGGCGTACAGTGTGCACTGCGGTGTGGCGCTGGTGTACGGTGTACAGTGCGGTGGTGTTATGAACACTGAGGCTTGAGCGCCTCTCCTGGGAACGCCGCGGTGGAGTTGGCTGCCCATGCCGCGTTTCAAAGTTGTTCGACACAGCGTCGCCGCGAGTGAACGTTTTCACTTGACGTGGAATTACGCTCGCCACCCCCGATTTGGCCGGCGACGTTGCAGTGTCCACCGCACGGGTAGTTTGTGCCCGCGGAGCTTCTTTCGCAACCGTGCGGTCAGCCAAACCGCGCTAATCGGCAGTGCGGGGTGGAAGGACGACAAAACTAAACGCAGCGACAACAAGCAGTTGGAAAGAAACGAGTTTGTCAAGTGTGGATGGTGATCATTTGAAACATGTGTCGTAGCTCCAAGCGGCTCCCTAATTATCAGAAAAGAAGAGCGTTCCAGACGGCCGCAGAAGCACACCCGAAAGTGCCGCGCGACGATACGGTGACTTTGTCTTTCCCCCTACCCCCCCGATGGCTAAGTCGAGATCCAGTGGCTTGCATAGCAGACCGACATATTTACATAGAGACGCGCCGACTGACTTTCTTAGATTGAACTGTGATTAAACCTGGTTTTTCAAGTAGCGTAGCGAGTTGATGATCTCAGTCTGCTCCACCGGTGACTCGTAGAGAGAGAGAAGACCCCCCCACGTGGACTCGAATGGACGAGGGTTGTGATGGAGACCCCAGCGGTCTGGATAGTACCCCATAGACACTAGTAGAGACCCATAGTTTTTGTGTGGTTTTTAGTTTCACCCCCCTGCCCCTCTAGGCCTGTATATATTTCCCTTGAGCTCACGGGGATTCGCAATCAGCCGGTGGGAATTTTGTTGTCTTTGTTGTGATGATCATCATTATTAATGTAACCTTTCACGTGCCCCTGAATTTTTGTTTGTAAGTCATTGCTGCAAGGGAGTTCAATAAAAGTGCTCGGAGCGATGATGATCTGCTCATGCATTGGACTCTGCGTGCGTGCGTGCGTGTGTACGTTGAACTTATTTCGCACAGTACGTAGCCAACCATGATTATCGGAGATGCGGGAGAAGGACAACAAAATAAACATATCGAGCAGTTCCAAAGAACGTTCATGATGTAGCATAGTGGTGTTGTGTATATAGCAGTGTGTAATAGTGTGGTGTAGTATGTATGTTTAACTTCTTTCGCACCTTAGGTAGCCAAGCGTGCTAATCGGAGGTGCGGGAATTTTGGTTACTCGCGCTTTGCCACATTGCCGATTGACCCACGCATGACGACCTGATCAGCAGGGTCCCCATGCTGCGGCGTCGCCGTACAAATGAGCCAAATTCGAAAAGAGCTCGCCGAAAATATTACTCCGTTGACTCGAGCTGGGTTTAGAGAGAGGCGGGGATTCATATTCTTGGCTCTTTTGGTGAAGTCACGTAGAAGGGAAACAATAAAATAATGAAGATGGATTCTGGCTTAGCAATCATTGGAAGGATTTGATAAACCATTTCGGGTATTGATTGATCACGCTTAAGGTGACTTTCAGACCGCATCCATTAATTTTCGTCTCCCCCCTCCTCTTTGCCGAACATAGATGGACTCGTCCATCTGAACAAAACTGCCAAATCGCTCTCCGTGGTGCTAACGTTAAAAAAAAACGCCACTTTTTTCAAATTTTCTTGCTGTGGTTTTCACACCTGATGATGATTGCTTGTGTTGCATTCGAAACGTCGTGAGCATTTTATTGTTTTATATTTTTATTATTTTATTGTTTCCCTTCTACGTGGTGACTTTACCGAAAGAACCAAGAATATGAATCCCTGCAGTCACGAAAGCTTTAAATCAAGAGGTAGGGATGTCTAGATGAGAGGGGAGGAGTTCAGAATGGGCGTGGCTACACAAGCCACGTGACTTACTGGAGGCTTGAGCTGGTTTAGAGATATAGGCTGCTAGATATTGAGTAAATTTCACCGATCGTTCTTTGGTATTCAGCTGCAAATTGCGGGTGGGGTGGGGGGGGGCATCCCCTCTGACCAACAGGCCCCAAACACGACCACTAGCGTGGTTTCATGAGGCCCACGGTCTCACACAAGGTCTCCAAAGTCGACACGATGCTTCTGAACGATACTACTTTTTTGTTATTTGAGCAGGTAAGCCCCCCACTGACCTACTACGTAGCTCTTTTTCAAAAGCGACCCGGCTATCGCACATGATAGCTCAACTTAAGTGGGCTCATCATCACGTGGAAATTTATAGCAGTAGCCAAGTAACTCTAAACGCGTGATTATGTTGATTCTAAATGTGGAAGGAAAAACCGCAGGACCCGGAGAAAAATCCCAAGTGACCACGGGGAGAGAGAGACACGCAAACTCCAAATTTACAGCAGGCATCAGGGTTGGGATGGAACCCACGACCTCATGTATACCAGGCGAGGTAGTTAACATCTCTTAGCCACCGTGGCGCCCCTTACTACTGGCAGACTGATGTCCCAGATCACTCGTGCAAATGAGACTCCTACGCTGGTCTCTTGAGTCCTTACTTTGTTCAAATAAAATCTACTTGAGCTCAATCATCAGCTCAATCGTTTACCCACCCACCATCTCTCAAAGACTCGCCCACTCACCTACCTACCCACTCACACACACACCCACCCACCCACCCGCTCGTACTCTTGCAAATGAGACTCATATCCTGGTCTCGTGATTTCTGCTCCTAGCGGAAAGAAGACGCTGGGGGAACTGGCACAGCCACTCGTAGACTCAATGGTGCAGCTATCCTGACCACGGAAAACTTTCATTATGATATACTATTATAGTACACACACACACACACACTTATGATACACACTAGGACCCGCTGGTGGACACCAGTGGTGAGGGAAGCTGTCAAGTTGAAGAAGGAGGCTTTCAGAGCTTTGCTCACAAAAAGGTCTCCCGACTCGATCGCGAGGTACCGGCTTGCCAAGGGGGCGGCAGCCGCAGCAGTCGCTGAAGCGAAAGCTCCAGTGGGTGCGGCAGGAGTTTGGAGAGGCCGTGGAGAGAGACTACCGGGCGGCCTCAAAGATGTTCTGGCAAAACCATCCGACGGCTTGAGAGGGCTCGACGGGACGTGGCCCAGGCTGTTCTCAGAAAGGGTCGCGGCGTAGCATTGAACTCAACTGAGGAGATAGTCCAGAGGTGGAAGGAACACTTTGAGGTGGACATGCCCTCCTCTGGGTAGGCAGCGCTGGCAACAGCTGGGGGCGTCTGATCCGTCACGGCCGCTGAAGTCGCTGCGGCGGTCGAGGGCCTTCGTAGCGGCAAAGCTGCCGGGGTGGACGAGATTCGCCCAGGGTTGTTGAAAGCGCTGGACAGTGTAGGAGTGTCGTGGTTAACACGACTCTTCATTGTTGCATGGAAGTGGGGTACAGCACCTCTGGACTGGCAAACTGGGGTCGTGGTTCCTATGTTTAATAAAGGGGACCAGAGGGTGTGCTCCAACTAGAGAGGGATCACACTCCTCAGCGTCACAGGTAAAGTCGATGCCAGAGCGCTGGAGAGGAGGCTCCGCCCGGTGGTCGAGCCTTAGATCGAGGAGGAACAACGCGGATCCCGTCGTGGTCGTGGAACAATGGACCAGCTCTTTTCTCTCACAGATACTTGAGGGGTAATGGGAGTACGCTTCTCCAGTCTACCTCTCCTTTGTAGACTTGGAGAGGTCATGTGACCGTGCTCCGCGCAATGTCTTGTGGGAGGTGCTGCGGGAGGATGATGTACCGGTGCCGCTTTTGTGTGCTATCCGGTTGACGGGGGACGCTGCCAGGGTTGTTGCCGCTGCTGCTCCGCTCGCGTTTATATTTTAGTCTTTTAGCTTCAAATTCTTGAAATATTTATTGAAATTAACTTTGGTGTGTGTGTGTTTTTAGACTCGGATTTGAACTTTCAAGCCCGCATTAGAAATGTCACCAAAACGGCTTTTTATCACCTCAGAAATATTGCAAAAGTGCAGCCCTTACCCTCGCAGGCCATCACCGAGAGACTGGTGCGTGCTTCTATCGCTCGCGGGTTTTACTACTGCCATGCTCTCATGTCCAGTCTTCCTAAGAAAGCAACAGGTAAACCACAGCTCATTCAGAATGCTGCAGCACGAGCGCTGACCAAGGCCAGAAGGAGAGCCGCGCACATAACACCGGTTTTAAAGTCTCTACACTGGCTGCCTGTCAGCTTGAGAATTGATTTCAAGGTTTGTTTTTGCTATTGGTTTCTAAGTCACGAAATGAACTGGGCACCTGAATACATGTGAAATGGTTCGAGAGAGGCACGCACACTGCTCTGTGAAGGCAACACTATTACTGAACACAACGTTAACTCAGTGGACACACCAACTATTCCTTGATGATGATGATGCACTACATTATCCACTACACTATATACGACGCTATACACTACACTATACGCTAGACTATATACTACACTATATACTACGCTATGCACTACACGATATACTACACAATACACTATGCTATACACTACATTATACACTACGATATACACCACTATACGCTAGACTATATACTACACTATATACTAGGCTATGCACTACACGATATACTACACAATACACTATGCTATACACTACATTATATACTACGATATACACTACACTATACGCTACACTATATCCTACACTATATACTACGCTATGCACTACACTATCCACTACACTATATACGACGCTATACACTACACTATATACTACACTATATACTACACTATATACTACACTATACACTACACAATACACTACTATAATGTGTACGACTTGAGACATACTGGCACTACAAGACAGAAGAGGAAAGTGGGGGATGTCTGCCCATGGATCGTGATGATGATGATGATGTACATCACGAGTACGGCGACTCACTGTTTGTATCGCGAACTGTGTCACCTAGATCTGTAACCATGTAGCAACACCTGCAACGTTGCAGGACGCCGATGAACTCGTGGAGCCCAACAGCTCATTGGGCGCATCCTGCTGAAATAAAATCCCTCTATGGGTCTGGCTCACCCGAGAGCTACCAATAAATGTTCTACACAGGGTGGCCCCAGTGTCTGACTTTCCTGGCCCACACATTAGACAACTGATGAGCTACTGACAACTGTGCCTCACTTGGGAGCCTCGCAAAAGTATGGATGGGTCTGGCTCATCGGAGCCACCACCAAACCCACACCACCACTTACCACACCACCACTCACCTACCCCTATACAGGCCTCACAACCATTTTCTAGCCTGCACACCAACCCATACCACCACTCACCTTCACACCACGCCACCACTCACCACACCACCACTCACCCCTATACACAGGCATCATAAACACACAACCCCAATGCCACACACCAATCCACACCACCAAGGTCTTACACTTTAACTGTGTTAATCTCGTCATAGTTTAAACTTTGTTAACCTTTAATTTTTGTTTAAACTCCACTCACACGCATCCCCGAGTCGCGATATCCCCATGGTTATTGTGACGTCACTTATATATATTTGGAGCCACCACGTGCTGCCCCCTATCGGCCGCAGCACGTGGTGGCTCCAAATAACTGTCGAAGTCACAAAACCCAATTTTATTGATTTGTTTACCCGAGGACACCTTCACGCTGTGGTATTAACCGTGATATTATTTTGAGCACATCAAAACTTCGCCCATCGCGGGTTTTTCCCATCGCAGAATTTGACCATTCGCGCCAAGTTGAATGTTTGATCCGAACATTTTGGAGTTAATGGGAACTAGAGACATAGCCTGGAATGATGCGAAACCCTCAAACAATCTCCCCGGTTGGACTACCCATAGCATGCTAAGAAATAGACGTATTCGCTAAGTAGGAAACGCATTTTTTTTCAATATCGTAAAATTATTCTAAATTCAAATAAGAAAAAAACCAAGACTCTTCTGGCAAACGTTCAATTCACTTGGAAGCAACAGAAAGAAAAATGCTCTTCCAACA